TCTATAGGCCTTTTATTGTAAGAACCACCTTCCCTCTGTAACTTGATTTGTGCCACTATTAGAACCTCTACTCAGAATATTATCGCTTTTTAATTTTTGACTCATGTACTTTTAACTTGTTAAATTTGTGTCTTCTAGGTTGCAACACTTCCATGATACATCTTCAAGGATATGAACATGTACGGCTAAGCACAATTGATAACAGTGCATCTAAATTCCAAAATCAATCTCCATAATAGTCTATGTGTTTCCTACTGCCAGAGGGGCCCTTTAGAGTAGTGAGAGAAGATCTTCACCCTGAAACCCACAGCGTCCCTTTTCAGCAAGAAGTAGCTAAGAGAATACGCCATCCCCTTTTCCTTATGAATCAGGGTGAAGTCTCTCTCAGGGAGGAGTGATAGGGAATGGCAAAGGACACACTAACAAAGGAGATTAATCAGAACTGGCTTTGACAAGCACTGGGGCAATTGGACAATTAAAACAGACATTTGGGGGGAGAAGAACGAACTGGGGAGGAGGGTAGAGAAAACAGTGCAGCAATGAATGAATGAAAACCCAAAATCTCTGTAAATGTTCATTAAAACTAATAAAATTTAAAAATAATTAAAAAAAAAAGACCATTATTGCAGAAAGAGTATGAGGATCCAAAGGGGGGGAAACAGAGGGTGAGGATGGGTGGAGGGGGTGTTAATCATAGGGTCGCACAATTTGATGTTGGGGGGGGGGATAAAGGAAATGGGAAAGATCTGGTGTGAACAACACTGTATACGAACTTTATAAATAAACCCTATTTAAAAAAATGCAGTCCTGGAAATGCTCACCAGCCTGTGCCAAAACATTCTGGAAGACAGATACCTGGCCAAGTATCTGGAAGAGATTCCTTTTTATTCCCAATCAAAGAAAGGGAGATCCAATATAATGTGGAAATTATTGAAAAGTATCATTAATATCATATGCCAATTACAATCTTGCAGATTATTCCAAAAATGGTTGGAATAGGATATCAATTGGCAACTATCAGAAATTCAAGCTGGATTCAGAAGTGGCCGTGGCACAAGAGATGTCACTGACTATGAAAAGGCATTTGACTATAGATTATACCAAATTATGGATAATGCTAAGAATGGGAATTCTAGAACACTTGCCCTGGGGATTCTCTGGATTGTGCTCACGTGAAAACTATACACAGACTGAGAAGCAGTTGTTGGAACAGAACAAGGGAATATTTCATGGTTTAAAATCAGGAGAGGCATGTGCCAGAACTTTGGAAAATAACATTTATATCAATTGCCTTCGCTGCCTCTGAGAGCATGGTCTCCAGCTACCTCACCTGAAGACACATGGTTCATTGCTGGATCAAAATCCTCTCCATCATCTATAGCTGTAGGACCACATAAGAGCTGCTCGCCAAATTGTGAAGAGAATGCCATGAGGCATAACCTGATGGAGCCTGAGAGATGTAGCCAAAGTTAAAGGTTTCGCTTGCCGAATGACTGAAGGAAGAGGTGATGTGCGACTGCTACGAAAAAAAAAGCTTTTTGAATGATTCCGGAAACCACAGGCTTCTTGTTATTTGTGTTGCTGGGCTGAACCTGGACTTTCACTGCTGACTGCTGTCTGAATTGAGGAATGTGCCTCCTCTACCCCCTATTTCTGTAATAAATCTCACAACTGAGAGTCAAGTCAATGAGTCAATTTGCAGCAAACCTTGAACCTAGGAGAAGTGGGTATAGGAGCACAGGGGGCCAATTTCTGTTCTTGTGGCTATTATTTTGCTATTGTGGCTATTACTGAAGGGAACAGGTCCCCTTTGTAGGGTTAACAGTAGTCAAACTTGGTCATTCCAATGTTGTCCCTTCTCCTTTTACACAGAGTAGTATCCTTTCTCCTTAGCTATTCAGTCTGTATGCAAAGCAAATTATTTGAGAAGCTGGTCTATATAAAGAATATAGCATCAGGATTGGAGAAGACTCACCAACAACCTACTTTAAAAAACAAACACACAAAATATGCTTTATGCAGATGACACAACCTTGCTTGCTGAAAGTGAAGATGGATGACTTGAAGCACTTACTGCAAAAGATAAAAGGCTATAGTCTTTATCATAAACTGTATCTCAATGCCAAGAAAACAAAAATCCTCACCCCTGGACCAACAGGCAACATCATGATAAACAGAGAAAATATTGAAGTTGTTAAGGATTTCATTTTACTTAGCTCCACAATCAATACTGATAGTAACAGCAGTCAAGAAATCAAAAGAAATGTTGCACTGGCAAAATGTGCTGTCAAGGACTTCTCCAAATTGTTAAAGAGCACAGACGTCAGTTTAAAGACTGAGGTGCATTGGATACAAGCCATGGTCTTTGCAACTATTTCCTATGCATTGCCTGAGGAGAACAGAAGAAGAACTGATGTCTTTGAATTCTAGTGTTGGAAAAAGTACTCAATATACCATGAACTGCCAAAAGAACAACAAATACATCTTAGAAAGCAAAAGCAGGATGCTCCTTGAAAGCATGGATGATGAAACTTCATCTCATGTACTTTGGACATATTGTTAGGAGGGGCCAAGATGGAAAGTCGATGAAAGAGAGGAAGACCTTCAACAGATCCAATAACTTTAAAAATGGCTTTAAGAATACCAGAGACAATGAGAAAGGTGCAGGAGAGGGCAGAGGTCAGATCCATTGTTGATAGTGTCCTATGAGCGGTAGTTGACTCAACAGTATATAACAACAACATTCAAATTCTAGTTTACTGAATTATTAAACCAGTAAATTTAAGGACGCACATTAATTTAATTCTTGAAATGTACATAACCTGAGTCTTGATTTTCTCATCTCGTACCAACTATTCTGGAGTTGTAGTGAAGGTTAGAGTCCCCTGAAAAGGCTGGTACATAGGATATTCTTGATGGCAGCCATTCTATTTGCATCTAACTGAAGTCTTTGGGTGGTGCTAATTATTTGTGCTTGACTACAAACCAAACCTGGAAAGACTATGTAGCTTGATTGATGCTCAGGTGCACCTGATTCAACCCACAGTGTTTCTAATCACGTTTTGCACTGAGAGCTGGACAATGAACAAGGAGGACAGGAAAAGAAAGAGTCTTTGAGCTGTAGTGTTGGGAGAAGAATGCTGAATACACTATTTACTGCCACAAGAATAAACACTTATGTCTTGGTGAAAATGCAACCAGAGAACTCCTTAGAGGCAAAGATGTGGAAGCTTCATCTCACATACTTTAGGCATGTTGTTAGGAGAGGCTACTCCTCAGAGAAGGACAACATCCTTGGAGAAGAGGAGGTTCAGTGAAACAGAAGACTCTCAAGGAGACATTCTGATACATTGTGGCAATGGGCATAAATGTGTCCGACATGGTAAGGATCCTGCAGGGCAGGGCAAGTATGTGTATATCAATTTGTGTCACAGTTCTCATTTCTTTGGAATATATACCTCCCTAGTAGTGGGACTGCTGGATCAAACAGTATTTTTATTCCCCATAGTACTATTAAAAAATCTTCAATTATGTGAAAGACAAAGGCTAAGAAATGTTTCAAATTAAAGAACATAGCTACATAACAAATAAATATAAAGTGTGATTCTGGTCTGGGAAAAAAATGGCTATAGAGAACATTATTGGGACAGGTGGAGAAATCTGAACATGGTTTGTGGATTAGGTAATAGTACACTAAATTTAAATTTCCTAATTTTAATAACATAGTTATTAAAGTTATTATAGTTATGGTTAAGACATCATGCTCAGAAGGGTGGACAGATAGCGCAGGAAAGGAAGACCTCGGATGAGATGGATTGAAATGGTAACTGGAGCAATGGGGACAGGTGTGTTGGAATCAGACAGGCTCTGGATAGGGCAGGCTTCAGAGCTGCTGTACATAGGGTTGTTATGAGTCACAAGCAACGCGATGGCACCTAACAACATAATTATGTAAAAAAAATTCCATTTTTCCGAAAACAATGTAGAACTCTGCTTTTTTTCTACATTGGTTTCTTTTCCCTCCCTCTCAATGTTTCCAATGGCTAATTTTTCACAGTAAATGACTAGGGCTTTCTTCTGAGGCATCTCTGGGTATATTTTTGGGCATATTAATCAGAAACACTTATGCTGGTCTATGCATATGCAAACATACACAGACACAGTAGCCACTAGACAATCTAGGTGAAAGGTATATGAAAGTTCTTTGAAAATTTTGCAACATTTATATGTTGTTGTTATGTGCCGTCAAGTCGTTTCTGACTCATAGCGACCTTATGCACAACAGCCCTAAACCCTGCTCTATCCTGCGCCAACCGCACCGCCTCTGACACACCCATCCCGATTACCCCAGTCACTGAATCAGTCCATCTCATAGAGGATCTTCCCCTCCTCCGCTGTCCCTCCACCCTCCCAAGCATGATGTCCCTCTCCAAGGACCCGTCCCTCCTGGCAACATGTCCAAAGTATGTCAGACGAAGCCCCAGAATCCTTGCCTCCAAGGAGTAGCTTGGTTTAATCCTCTCCAAGATGAATCTGTTTGTTTTCCTGGCAGTCCAGGGTACATTCAGTACCCTTCTCCAGCACCACAGCTCAAAAGCATCCACTCTCCTTCTGTCCTCCCTAGTCATTGTCCAACTCTCTGATGCATAACAAGCGATTGCAAATACCATGACCTGTATCAGGCGCACCTTAAGTCTCCAGAGAGACACTGTTGCTCCTGAGTACCTTTGAGAGGTCCCTAACAAACATTTATATAATTATGAAATTATTCTGAAAGAAGATGCTTTAAAACAATTATAGAAAATAATTTTTAAAAGATTAACAGAGTGCAATTATTGTACTTTCAAAACATTCTTTAGTTTCAACATGAGACTGCTCATTAAGAATACAGCAATAAATTCTTATTGAGTATTAAAAGTTCCCTGGTGAAATTTTAGTTTTACCAGGTGAAAAAAACTGAAGTGGCTTATATGAATAAAACATATGCATTTTCTTTTTACCTGAGACATCCATCTGTCATCTCCTTGAATATCTTCGGCTGCATGTGGAATAGCTGCTGGGTTTGAATCTCCTTGGCTCATTCTACACCTGAAGGAAGAAATATTTATATTTCATTTGTAATAGGTGTCTTAGGAAACTCTGGTGGGTGGCCTAGGGGCAAGAAGCTGTGTTGCAGTTCCTAAGGCACGCAGTTTGAATCTACTAGCTGCTCTGGGGAGAAGGCTGGACAATCTTCTCCCTGCAATTAACTGCCGCCTAAAACCCACTGGAGGGTTAACTATGGGTGTCAGTCCTGACTCAATGGTACACAACAACAATATGGGTCTTATCTGTTGCACTTAAAGTTTTGATCTGTTGTTCATAGGGTTGCTGTGAATTGTAGCTGACTCAACTGGCACCTAACAACTTGAAATATTTCATGTCAGGTTTAAATAATCATTTAGATTTCATTATGGCTTTTCCTAGGAATTAAACAACTAATCTACTTTTAGCAAGGAAAGTTCTAGGATAGGAGTTTGTAAATCTCACAAATCCCAAGCATTATTACATTCTATGATAGGTCAGAATATCACTGAGAAACAAAGCACTATATTAAAAAAAAAAAAAAGCAAGCTTCTCCAAACAATTTTTTGGGGGGCATATATTTTAAATTTTTTTTACTATATACGTGGAAGGGAACCTTGGTGGCCTAGTGGCAAGAAGCAGTGCTGCAATTCCTAAGGCAGGCAGTCTGAATCCACTAGCTGCTCTATGGAAGCAGAATGGGCAATTTCCTCCCATGCAATTTATTGCTTCTGTAAACACGCTAGGGGGTCAGCTATGGTTTGGTTCCAATTCGACAGCAAATAACAACATGTACGTAGTAAGGGACTCTGGTGGCCCAGTGGGTAAGGAGTTGCACTACCAACCCAAAGCCAGGGAGCTCAAATCCACCACCTGCTCCATTGAGGGAACGATGGGCAATCTCCTCCCATGTGATTTAAAGGACCTGAAAACCTGCTTGAGGTCAGCTACAAGTTTGTTCTACCTCGACAGCAATGAGTTGAGATACATTGCTAAGAGCCAAATTCTGGTGATGCAGTCGGAGGGAGTTGCACTACTAACCCAAAGGCAGTGTCCCTCTGGTTGTTCAAATCCAGCTGCTCCTAGGAAGAAAGAGGGACAATCTCTTTTCATGAGATTTACAGGCTATGTATACTTGCTGGAGAGTCAGCTATGAGCCATTTCCACCCAACAATAACAAGAGGGATCCCTAGTTTCTAAAAGATAATCTCTACAACCTCTTGGAATTTAAGTGTGTTGGTAAGGACTATCAAGTATTCCTAACTGATTAGGTGAGGCGAGGATGTAACTCTAGTGGTGGGGGCTGGCTAGGGCCCAAATAAAGACGCTTGGACAGAGAAACTCCAGGAACTTGCTGCAAGGTGAAAATATCCATTCTCAAGATACCATGATTTCCAGGAACTCTCCCAGACTTGGCTCTACGCATCTCTCCTTTACTCTAACCCTGATTTTTATCCTTTATGACAAAGCTGTAATTGTAAGAGAGAACGCTGCGAGTTCTGGGAGCTGTTCCAGTGAATTTCTGAACCTGTGGAAGTAGTGCAAGCCAGCAGGCCTAAAGTAAGGGGGTTGTAAATTCTCCACATTTATGGCTGATATCTTGGGGGGGGCGGGGGGCGGTTAGAGAACTGTCCTAAACTCATATATCCAGTAGGTCAGAATTAGAACTGTAACCCTTCTAATTTATAGCACAACAAGGTCCTCTTTTTGTGTGTGTTTCATTCATAAACTGTTGGTTTTGGGTGTTTTTTTTTTTTTAGTCCACAGAGAAAAGGAAATTTGAACCTAGGTTACATATACTTAACAAACCAAAACCCTACTGTGCCATGTTACTTCTGAGGACAATGTCCCCTTAATTTGAGATCTAACCTAGCTCCAGCTGATGTAAAAGAAGTAAAAAAAGTACAAATTTGTTTTTATGTTGACTTGTTATCCTCCCAGTAACTGATAGGAAAAGAGGCTATATTCTTTCTGAGATGAAATGAAGGCCACAATTTTTAAGTAGTCTCTTTTTCTTCCCCTTGCAATTTCAAATACATGTAAATATTCTCTGAAAAAGTATTAAGTTATAGCTATTCACCATATACTTATTGATTTTTAAGTACTTTTTCTTCTCGTTGCCAATTTCAAATACAGCTAAACATTTTCTGAAAGCCATTCACTATATATTTATTGAGTATGCAAACCACATTGGACTATCAAGTTGACAGGTTCTTACAATCAGAAAATAGCAAATGCTAAACATGAAAGTATGCCTCCATTCACAAAAACAATAAATTAGTTCAGTCCTAAATAACACTAAGTCTTAAAAAAATTGCTATTGCTGTTAGTTGCTGCTGCATTCACTGTGACTCATGGAAACCCCGTATGTGCAGAGGAGAACTGCACCACAGGATTTTCAAAAGCCCTCTGGAAGATTACCTGGCCAGTGTTCCAAGGTGCCTTGGAGCAGGTTCAGGCCACCCATCTTTCCCATCTTTTTTGGCTGGTAGTCAAGCATTTAACCAACTGTGCCATCCAAACCAAAACCAAACTTATTACCATCAAGTATATACACACTAACAGGAGCAGAGGAACATGTTTACAGGAAAGGCTAAACTGAGCTAAATAAAGCATATGAATACAGGTTAGCCCAGATTTAAAAAAAAAACCAACATCAAACTCACTGCTGTCTTGCATTAAAGTTGACTTACAGCTGATGCTCCAGCAGGTTTCCAAAAGCTGTAAATCGTACAAGAGGAGACTTCATTTTTCTTCCTTAGAACTGTTAGTGGATTCAAACTGGTCACCTACAGCTTAGCAGAACGACTCGCTACAGACTAGGCCACTAGAGAGCTCTTGGCCCAGATAATTTTTAGCTGTACTTCCCAGAAGAATCTTTCTGCATATGTACTTTAATAAATGTATACTTATATATACATGGACTGCTGTTAATATGTGCATTAATATTAACATGTTGCCACAAATGATGGCTATAGTGGAAAAAAAAGTGCTTCTAAGCATAGTCATCAATTTAAAAGTGTGCGGCAATGTGTTAATGAAGTTTACATCTTGCTCTTTAGATTAAAAGAAAGCTCTGCATTTTCCCTCATATTTTAATGCACCATCATATGGATCCTTGGATGCATATAGCCTGTTTTCAAGACCAACTGTCTTGAAACTTTAAGATCTCTTCAAATCTATGATTCCATTTACAGACAGAATTTTCACAATTCAAGTAAAAGGTATAAAAAAAAGATTCACAAAGACTGCAACTGTTATTTGTTAAGAACCTATGATTTATAAGGCATTGCTAGAAGTTCTGTTATTATATAAAGCTGAAGCACAGAGACCTGCTCCATGACAGAACAGGTAAGCAGGAGATGAGATTTGATACTTTCAAGCCTGTTTACTTTCCACCCTTCCATGTTAATTGGAAGGAGTGGCATCCACTTCCTAAACAACATGACTCCAGTAACTCTACGAACTGAACTTTAATAAGAGTTGTAGAGGGGCTTCAGACTTTTTGTTCATAGGGTTACTATGAGTCATGCTCGACTCTCGGGCAATCAACAACGTTAATTCTACATTTTCTAAGAATTTAAAACAATCTCATCGCTATCCAGTCAGAGTGGACGTGTAATAGACCATCCACAGGTTTCTGACACTGTAAATCACACAGAAGGATACTACCCATCTTTCTCCCATGGAGTCTGGTAGATTCAACCCAACACTTGGCTTTTGGGTTAGGAGCACAACTTCCTACAGACTGCTACAAAAGTTGCTGGTTGCTGCTCAGAACCGACCCATCCCTGACCCTCCAGTGGAGTTTTAGAAGTAGTATATCACATGGGAGGACTGTGCCCCTCCTTCTCCCATGGAGCAGCTGGTGAATATGAACCATGTACCTTTGGGATGGCTCCTTACCACTAGGCAGGCTAGCAGAGCTGCTTAGGCAACAATTTTTTTTAGTTAAGGATATTAGGTTTTACATGTTGTTATATGCTTTTGAGCTGGAACTGACTCATAGCTGACTCTCTAGCAGATTTTCAAAGGCTGTAAATCACATAGGAGTTTCTCTGCAACAGCTGGTGACCCTGAATTGTGTGAAGGCTGGCAGTGCAATTCCCTATCGCTAAGCCACCAGAGCTCCCTAGATTTTACACAGAAGAGAGGAAGACCCTGGATGAGATGGATTGACAGTGTGACTGTGGACAGGTATATCAAAGATAGTGAGACTGGCTCAGGATAAGGCAGGATTCAGAAATACTGTTCATAGGGTCACTGAGATAGCGCGTAACACCACCATCACTGAGTTGGAACAAATTCATTGCTGACCTTCCAGGAGGTTTTCAGAGGTACTAAACTGCAAAGGAGACTGTCCATCTTTTCTTCTGCAAAGCAGAGATTTGACCCATCTGCCTTTTAAATAGAAGAGGCCATGTGAAAGTTACGGATTCTAATTTTTATTGATTCACTTACATCTTTTCTATTACTACCAAGGAAATAAAACAACATTCTGATACTCTGCAAAATTTTTTTTCATCTTAGTGCTAAATTTCTCCTCGGGCAAAAGAAAGTGTTTCAGAAAGAGAAACTGAGGAACAAGATACGATTTATCTGAGGTTATTCAGGAGTCACCGTAGTATAGTGAAGTGTCTGGCTGCAAATTGAAAGGTTGGCTGTTTCAATCTCCCAGGTGCTTGACACAAAAATGAGAAAGTCTGCTCCTGCTTAGATTTACAGCCCCAGACACGACGGGACAGTTCTCTCTCTTGAGTCTACAGGGTTTTTATGAGTCAAATCAACTCTATAGTTGGGTTTGTCAGGAGGCCATTTATCTGACACTACATGGAAGGCAGAATTGGGAGATGGTAAAACACTCCCAATTAGCTAGTCTTTCCCCTCTTTAACTAGGAATACAAGGTCTGCCACATTCTCCCTCTACAAGGGCGGGGAAAATTTGTTTCTTTGTGCCTTCACATACTGAATTTTGTATTATTTTGCCAAATGAAATTCTTACAATACAAAGTAGCTTTCAGAGTTTTACTGATGTCTTTGGTTTGGTAACATTTTCAAACAGAAGAAAAATTCAACCATAAACACATGAAATCTTCCTTTAATAACAAAGCTGGCAACATACAACTTGGAGACTACACATTTATAAGATTAAAATAACTTGGGAGTTAGATAAACTATTACATTCTCTGTAACAAAAATGAAGGAGGAATGAGGAGCTATCCAGAGACATCTGTGCTAGCCCACTAAAATCCTCAAATCACTTTTGGGTTTCCTGCCTTAGGTAGAAGGCAATATTTTAACATAATGGTCTTCAGATTGAGAAGTTGTAACTAGCAATTAAAGGGGTGGGGGAATTATCAACACACACACACACACACACACACACACACACACACACACACACGTTTGATGCTCATTTAATTTCACTGATTCACAACAATCCCATGTGCAGCAAGCCATTACCCTCCCTCCTACAGACATCACAACTAGCAGGTGCAGTTGGAAAAAAACCCCCACAGAGCAAAGATAATGGTCTCCCAAAGAACAAAAGTTGTGTTAATCTGTTTTACATTCTAAAGTAGTTTTAATTGATGATTAAAAAAGGTTGTCTTGATGGGGTAGGCATCAGCCACTTGCACATTATTTAGCAGATGGAATGGAACCTAACAGAATTACTTTTCAGTTTCCTCATTTGCAATTTCCCCACATTTTCCATCTTCTCTACTTGAACTGTAGCATTATAAAACCAGAATTTCTAGACATTAATACCAGCAGACGCAGACTGCTTAATCAGAAGCCAGTTCAGTCACAAAGATTTAAAAATTCTCAAACTAAGCTGGATGTTTCCTTAGTTTGAACCAGGAAACAGGTGGAGGGAAAAGCTGCACTAAGAATTTAAAAGGTTTCGAATGTTCCACTCCCTCTTGACTTTGTTTCAGAGGGCGCTGGCAGGGTTAAGTGAAGAGGAAGGCAGACCTCATCCGGAATACCCTGCCTTCATGGGTTGGTGTGTGGGTCCCTGGGTTCCAGCACATCCATAATTTATTATCAAATGCCCAAGCCAAGAAATTAAAGTACAGTAATTTCCTATGCATCTCCTGCTTCCTAACAAGGTCAACTTTATGCACCCAAAAGAACCTAAAGACACAAACTATAGTTTAAGCAAAGACATAACTCAAATGCTCAGACTTGACAGTCTGCATTTTCTCCATCTTTTTCCACTCCTTTACCCATCACTCAAAGTCCTCATTTAAAGTTGTTCAAATGAGGTCGTAAGGTGGGTCTACTCTTTCTCCATGAAAGCCAAAGCATCCACACTTGTGAGTTTTCTTAAGGTAATAAAAAGCTGGGTGGGCGTCATCATGCAACTGGTCTATCATCATGCAACTAACTGGTAGACCAGAAGACCCTGAAGTGGACCAGGAGAAAAACCTTAAGAACCTGCAATCACTCATTGGCAGGTTAACCAGAGGGATGACCTTGGGCAAAATACCAATTTTCTTTGAGCCTCATCTCTAAAATGAGGTGCTGATTGGATAATCGTGGCAGCCTATGGGTCTTCTCAATATATTAGAAGAGAAAAAGGAGGAGTTTCTGAAAAGTTGAACATTTTCAACAAAAGCAGGAGGGAAAAGTGTGCCGGGTGAACAGCAAAGTAACTGGTGTGGTCCCACCTTTATTTAGGCCTCTCTGACAAGAGGAAAAAGGTCAGAGGCTCGATCTCAGGGATGGTGTAAAAAAGCATAGGCAACAGCTGAACCTGGAAGAGGAGCTACAAATGGTGCAGGCAGGGAAGGGAGCGAGGGGTGCAGAGAGGCCTGCTCCAGGGGGCGCGTAAGGCCAGGGAAGTCCGCCCCGCCACGGTATTCCTCCACCGCAAAAGGCTGGGGAAGAACAGGCTAGCGGCCGTGGAAAGTCGACAGGTCTGGGGGGTGCGGTCCCGGGAAAAACGGCTCTGGAGGGATGGCGAGAGGTCAGCACATCCCAGGAGCGGCGCAGAACGGACAGCAGGGGGAACCGACGCTGAGCCCTCGGAGAAGCGCGCGCGAGGCCCCCCAAGGCCCCGGCAGGGAAGAGGTGGCGCGGGGGGGGAGGGGCAAAAAGAGGTGGGGGAGGGGAGATCGCGGGCTTCTCACAATAACAAATCGCAGTTCTTTCAAACCCCCTCCTCTCAGTCGCGAGTTCCCCGCCATTCTGGATGCACTCACTCAGGCAGAGGGTCCGTGCGGGCCCCAAGCGGCTGCGGCGTCGGCGGGTGGCGCGTCTGTCGCTCGCTCAGTCCCGGCGGTCCCGCTCCAGCGCGTCCCTCCTCCGGCCCCAGTACCAGCAGCAGCGCCTCCACTTCCGGTTCCCCTGCCACTCAGGCAAACGGCCTACGGAAGTCCCGCCTTCATCCCGCCCAGCTTTTGCGGGCTGCACGCTTCGCGCTTTCTCTCTGTTGGTTTTGCTGCTTGCGCCAAGGTGTACTCCCAGCCGGGCGGAATTCTTGCTTTGTTCTCTATCTTGCCCTTCGTGTACTAGTGGTTTGCATCACTTGGATAAGATTTTATCTTTCCCCCAGCTGCATCCTTCAGTCCTGCATTAATGACACCAGGGTGTGGAGATGGTATTCGGGACAATGTAGCTCGTGATCTCACACTGACGCCATTCCCTTTCCACTCAGGCAACCTGGCTTCCTCCCCCACCCGCATAGAATAAAGCAGATTACTGAAAGAGGGACGGAAATAGGTCCCCTAGGTTAATAAAACCGTTTACTTAATGAGGGGCATTTCTGTAGCATGATAAATGTTGGTAAGTCACGCCTCGTAAAGTGAGATGGGGAATAAAGAGCCACCATCTGCTCTTTTAAGGATGCATCCAGTTTAAGAGAAGAGATACATATATGAAGTCAATATTGAAAAGCTTAGGTATACTAAATGCTAGATAAATATAAGAGCTGCGTAATAGAGAAAAAAATTCATTGGCCTGAAGTTGATCTTGATCCAGAGAGACCTTATTGGAGGAAAGGAAGATGCACGCTCACAGTATGGATTAGTTGAGTAGAACATGGCCTAGCTCTGGTCCTTTAGTGGCAAGAAGCTACACTGCAATTCCAGAGGTTTACGGTGCAAATCCACCACGTACTCTGCTGGAGAAGGAGGGCCATTCTCCTGTACCAGTTAGATCTAACATGACAGTACATACACACACAAAATATAATAAAAGGGGAAAAAAAGATAGTATACATTCATGCCTATGCAGAGAGAGAGGTAGAACCTTCTAATATTGGATTTGGACATTTTTACTTTGCTGCCAAAGCTCCTGTAAAAATCATGGAAGTCTAAGTAAGGTTTTGAGATAATATCAAGTTATTTTTCAGACCACTTATGTTGTCAAGTGGTCCTAAATGTGTATTATCTGTCTTATTTCAGGCATATATAATCCAAAATGTGTCCTCACATAAATAAGCAATGTAAAAATTACTTTATCTTTGAATACTCTTGTAGAAATACTCAAGATAATACAGGACACAACAGTAAGTTTTCCATAAATGTTTGATATGATATAAAGAGCAAGTCAAGAAATATATTGACAACAGAAGAAAATAGCTTGAATTATTCACTAGGGATAAATCCAAAGAATTCTGCACTTCCCCAATTTTAACACTCAATATTCTTTAATGTAATTACTTCGATTCATCCTAGAGAGGGTTAAACCAGGCTACTCCTTGGAGGCAAATATTCTGGGGCTTCGTCTGACATACTTTGGATATGTTGCAAGGAGAGACAGGTCTTGGGAGAGGGACATCATGCTGGGTAGAGTAGAGGGACAAAGCAGGAGGGCAAGACCCTCTATGAGGTGGATTGATTCAGTGACTGGGGTAATCGGGATGGGTGTGTCAGAGGCAGTGTGATTGGCGCAGGACAGAGCAGGGTTTAGGGCTGTTGTACATAGGGTCACTATGAGTCGCAAACGACTCGACGGCACATAACAACAACAACAATTACTTCACCAATACATTGTTTTCCCTATTATATAATGAAAGTTTTGAGAGAGCAAGGTCTGTATTCTGTAGATTTCCCACAGCTGATATGATCCATAATAGTGTTGTTGTTAAGTAATCTATAAAGTATGTTGTTAAGTACTGTCGAGTTGAGTGTGATTCATAGCAACCCGTGAACAACAGACTTGAATCCTATCCTTGCTTGTGCCTTCCTTCCTCATCAGCTCTGACAGACTTGAGCCCATTGCCGCAGTGACAATGCCCATTTCCACTGGGGGTCTTTTGCCAACCGTCCACCTTTCTAAGCCTCTTTCTATAGCCTTTACTAGTAACATGTGTAAGATATGAGAGATAAAGCTTTGCCATCCTTACCTCCAAAGTGCACTTTGGCTGCACTTTTCCCAAGATACACTATTTGCTCTTTTGCCAGTCTATGGAAAATGTAGTACTCTTCTCCAACACTACAACTCAAAGACACCAATTCTTCTTCTATCATTCTTAGTAATGTTCTCATATGCATAGCAAGTGATTGAGAAGACCATGGCCTGAATCAAGCATGTCTCACTCTTCAAACTGACATCATTGTTCTTCAGGATTTTGGAGAGGTCCCTAACCACAGCCTTGCCCAAATCAATGTGTCTCCTGACTGCTGGCACCAGGGGTGTTCATTGTGGATACCAGCAAGATGAAATAATCATGTTTCAATCCTTTCTTCACCTATTATGATATTACCTCTTGGCCTAGTGGTAAAAACCTTTGTTTTCTTCATGTTGAGATGTCATTCATATTGAAGGCTATATTCCTTCTATGTAATCTCCTGCAGCAAGTGTTTCAGGCCCATTTCATTTTCAGCAAGCAAGGTGTGTCATCTACATAAAGCAAGTTGTTGATGAGCCTTCATCAGATCATGTTCCTGCCCACATTCCTCTTTATAGAGTCAAACTACAGAAATTATTTGTTCATCATACAGATTGAATAGGTATGGAGAAAGGAGACAACTCTGACATACACCTTTCCTGACTTTTTTTTTTTTTACTTTTTATATGTGTACCATCAAATCGGATCTAACTAGTACAGGAGGAGATTGTCCCTCCTTCTTCAGCAGAGCATCTGGTGGATTTGAACCCAGTACCTCTGGGATTGCAGTGCACTTTCTTGCCACTAGGCCACCAGAGCTCGCCCACCTTTCCTGATTTTAAACCATGTGGTATTCCCTTGTTCCATTAAGACAACAGCTTCTTGGTCTAGGTATAGTCTTTGTATGAGTACAGTTAAGTCTTCTGATTCCCATTTTTCTCAATGTTAGCCATAGCTGTTATGATATACACAATCAAATGCCTTGACACAGTCAACAAAAATCAGATAGATATTTTTCTGTTATTCTCTGCTTTCAGCCAGCATCCATCTGATAATCAGAAGTGATATCCTTGTGCCATGACCTATTCTAAATTCAGCTTGAATTTCTGGCAGTTTCCTGTCAATATACTGTTCTAGCCATTTGTGGATGATCTTCAGCATTTTGTGTGCTTATGACATGAGTCATACCGTTCAATAATTTCCATACTCTGTTGAATCACCTTTCTTGGGAATGTGAAGAAATACTGATCTTTTCCAGTTAGTCAGCCAGTCAACTGTCCTCTGAATTTCCTGACATAGACTGGTGAGCAAGTCCAGAGTTGCATCTATTAGTTGAAACATGTCAGTTGGTTTCCAATCTCTTTCTTGGGCCTTAATTTTTTGCCAGTGTCTCCAACACAACTTGAACTTCTTCCTTTGTTACTGTTGGCTCTTCTTCACATGGTATTTCCGGAAATATTTCAGTATTGACTGTTCTTTTTGGTGCAATGACTCTGTGTATTCCTTCCATCTTGAAACTGAAGAAAATAAAAACAAATCCACATATATTTGACCTTGAGTCTATCCCACCTGAATTAAAAAATCATCTTAAGAACAGGTTTGAGACATTAATCACCAGTGATCAAAGGCCAGAAGAACTGCGATATTAAATCATCAATAAAGAGAGCAAAAGCTCATTTATTAAGACAGAGAAAGGAAAAAAACACACAAACCACAAATGGATGTCAGAAGAAACTATGACAATTGCGTTAGAGCATCAAAAACCCAAAACAAAAGGAAGAGATAAAGTAAAAGAGCTGTACAGAAGTTTGCAAAGGACACCTCGAGAAAACAAAACATAGTATTAGAATAAAATATGCAAAGAGCTGAAGTCAGAGAATAAAAAAGGAAGAATTTGCTTGGCATTTGTCAAGTTGAAAGAAGTGAAAAACAAATCCAAGCTTCGAGTTGCAATACTGAATGATCCATAATGTTTTTGTTGTTGTGTGCCATCAAGTCGCTTGTGACTCACAGTGACCCCATGTACAACAGCTCTGCAGTCGGCCCTGTTCCTGAGCCAATCTCACTGACTTCAACATACCTACCTACCTACCTCCATTGCCCCAGTTACTATAACAATCCATCTCATATGGGGGTCTTCCTTTCTTGCATGGTCAACCCTTCCAAGCATGATGTCCTTTTCCTAGGATTGGTCCCTCATGGCCACATGCCCAAAGTATGTGAGATGGAGCTTCGAAATTCTAGCTTCCAAGGAGAAACTTGGTTTCACCCTCACCAAGACAGACCTATTTGTTATCATATCCATGATATGTTCAAGACTTCTCCAGCACCACAATTCAAAGGCATCAATTCTTCTTCTGTCATTCTTAGTCCTTGTTCAGTTTTCTTTTTTTAAAAAAAATTATTTTATTAATTTTAATGAACATTTACAGATATTTTGGATTTCCATTCATTCATTGTTGCACTTTTCTCCCTGCCCAGCCCCCTTCCCCCACCCCTCGCCCCAGTCCACTCCTCTCTTTGAAAAGCAAAATAAAAATTCTTTCTTTGGTATACAATCCTCCCGCACCCCTCCCACTGCCCCGAGTACACTTGACTATGCAACCTTAATTCTGGACTCTTGTGATAACCATAATATTCTATTGTCCAGATTTCTAGTGCATAGCAAGTAATTGTGAAGACCATGGCCTGGATCAGGCTTACCTCAATCTCTAGACCAGCATCGTTGCTTTTCAGTACTCTGGAGAGGTCCCTGACAGAACATTTTCCCAGTGCAATTCGTCTTTTGATTTCCTGACTCCTGATGGCAAGAGTGTTGATTGTGGAGCCGAGCAAGATGTAACTGTTAACAACGTCAATCTCTTCTCCATTGATAATAGTGCTGTCAATTGACCCAGTGGTGAGAATCTTTGTCTTCTTGATGTTGAGCTTCAATCCATATTGACATTTTGCTGCGAGTGCTTCTGATCCTCCTCAGTGTCAGCAAGCAAGGTTGTG